TTTACATGGGAGAACATTTGTTATACATTCATCCTATCGTATATTGTTTCATTGCCATGGTTACAATCCCCTCCATGCATCATCAACCAACCACAGGTTTTATACCCTGCAAGCCTGCCCCCTGTCCCCTCTGGTCATCAGTACAAAGCCCCTCTTCTTCTCTGGGTCTAAAGTCCCCAGCTGCTCCATCTCTCCACATCATCATCTCTGCCTCCATCTCTGGCATCACTGCTTCTCTGGGTAGGGTCCTGCATACTGCTCTTCTTGCTTGATGGTCCCAGGGACCTCCACTCCCAGATTGCAAAGTTAATCACGCCCCTCCTTGCTAAAAAACATCTACCTTTACCTTTCCAACCTCACAATCAGTCCTGATAACAATTATTCACTATTGTATCACAGAAGACCTATCTGCATTTCCTTTCATCAACCCCACCTAGACAGACTGGATACTACTCAATGAAGACAACTTCCTCCATGAATATATTGTCCAGGAAGGTCAAGAGCACACTCCTTCACAAAGGCAATGAAGAAGCACACTGGTGACAAGGGCACTAGTGTCATCAAGAACCGTATAGCTGGTTGTCCTTTTCAGACCTGAGTTAACAGTGGAACATGCTGGTAAAGCTCCTTCAACACAAGTCCCTATCCCTAAAACCTGGCTGGGAGCCTAATCCAGGAACTAACCAAATATTGATTGAAGTCTTCAGGTAAAGCAATGGTGTGTAGGGGAAAGAGAACTGAAATAAAAGTTGGAAGGTCAGTGTTCTTAACTTTGCTCAGGTATTTCCTAAACTCCATCACATGCTTATTGAAACTCATTGTCATAGATTGAATTGTGTCCCCCCAAAATAGGGTCAACTTTGTTAGGCCATGATTCCCAGTGTTTCTAGGTTGTCTTCCATTTTGTGATGTCTTTGAAATTCTAACCTTTGTATGTTAATGACACAGGATTAGGGAGGATTGTATCTTGCATCACAGCCTAAACATGCTTGCTTGAGTCACACCTTTAGTCTTCTAAGAGATAGAAGGACAAAGAAATCATGGACTGAAGGGCCTGACCATCACCAAGGAGAAAGAGCTGGAAGCAGAGCATGTCCTTTTGAACCATAATCCCTGTCATGAAAACCTCCTAAATGCAGAGGAAGGTTTATCTAACTTTACTGAAAGGAGTCCTGGTGTGACACTGTGGGTTAATGCACTGGACTGCAAAGTCAGTTTGAACCGCAAGGTTGGCAGTTCAAGCTCACCAGTCGCTCCTCAGAAACCTTATATAGAGTCTCTATGAGGTGGAACCGACTTGATGGCATTTAACAACAACAACAACTGAAACCATGCAGGTACTAAGCATTTAGCTAGGAAGATCCTCAGAGAGGCCTAGAGGGGTGGGCAGGTGTGTAAACAGATGGATATAACAGAGTGAAATCAGTGGTTCTCCATGGTGAACTGGTTGGGGCCTGTAAAGTGAGACTAGGAAATTCTTGATGGGTTAGGTACACCTAGAGGAGATGACAAATAAGAGAAGGCTCCCTAGAGGAAGGACCCTTTCAGGTTGCATTTTGTAAAATGTGGTGGTAGAGGTGGTTATGTGCCGTGGAGTCGGTTCCGACTCAGCGACCCTATACAGGGTTTCTGAGGCTGTAAATCTTTATGGGAGCAGAAAGCCTCATCTTTCTCCCGTGGAACAGCTGGTAGTTTCAAACTGCTCACCGTGACATTAGCAGCCCCATTCGTAACCACTACGCTATGTTGTCGTTGTTAAGTGCCGTCTAGACGCTTCCGACTCAGAGCAACCCTATACAGAGTTTCCGAGGCTGTAAATCTTCACGGGAGCAGAAAGCCTCATCTTTCTCCCACGGCACAGCTGGTAGTTTCGAATAGCTGACCTTAAGGTTCACAGCCCGATTCGTAACCACTACGCTACCTGAGCTCAGTGGGCAAAAAAAGAAAGGATGTTCCAAGGCAGAGGAGACTGTAATATAGACAGGGCACCTGTAATATAGTCTGTAATATAGACAGGGCACCCAAATCAAACATAACCTTGTATGCCACATGAAGGAATCTTATTCATAATGAGGGGCTCCACTAAAGGGTTTTAAGTGGAAAGGTGGTTTGATCTGGTTTGTATTAAGAACCTATGCCTCTGTCCTGTGTATATTGCCACTGTTCTCTCCCAGCATCTTACCACAGTTCAGCCTTGTAATAATCCATGAGTCAGGACTTTAAAAAGCTTTGAAACACCGTGGGACTTGTTCTATTCAGACTTTGCAGAGACTAAGAGCTTCTTAGACTCTGTAGGTCTCAAAGAAATGAGAAGGTTTTCTAATATCTTAGTTATAACCTCAGTTTGCAACTTGCTGTGTGATTTTTCTTATGACTGAGTGAGTCACTGATCCTTATTCTAAAAAGGGAAACCCTGGCTAGGAGTCTAATCTAAGCACCTAGGGGTGTTAATAAAATGTAAACTTTCTTGCTACCTCTTCCTTATTAGGCAAGCCCAGGTGGTAATCATAATCATTTTGTCTTCCTATGCCCTCTAAGGAGAGGAGTATTGTGTTTATGGTGACAAATACACATAGCCACCTGGAGACTTCCTCTCATCTCCCATCACTTGGCCCAAACAACTGATGTTACTACAAGAGGTTACTCTGAGGCAGGGCTGACATCCAAATGTAAACTCTTGCATTTTACTCTTTAGAAGCTAGAGCCTATTGAATCATAAAAGTCAGAGTCACTCTTTGCAAATAAATTCTAAGAACTTTGCGTCCTGTCAAGCTCTTCTAAAACAAGGAAACTTTAAAAACAATAGTCTAAGGATAAAAAAATGTTTTCACTCACTATTGTTGTTGGATAAGGAGCTCTGGTAGAGTAGTGGTTACAAATCGGGCTGCAAACTGAAAGATTAGCAGTTTGAAACTACCAGCTGTTTCGCGGGAGAAAGATGAGGCTTTCTGCTCCCATAAAGATTTACAGCCTTGGAAACCCTGTACAGGGACGCTATGAGTCAGAACCGACTCCATGGCACATAGCAACAACAATATTGTTGTTGGATGTCATCAGTTCCAACTCATAGTGACCCATATAACAGAGTAGAACTGTCTGAGAGCTTCACAGAAGCAGATTGTCAGGTCTTTTGTCCTACAGAAGCCTTTTCGTTAACTGCTGAATGCTTAACCACTGAACCAGCAGAGCTCCCTCTCCACTCATTGGTGGTTAAGTGCTGTGGAGTCAGTTCTGACTCATAGTGACCCCGCATAGGTTTTTTGAGGTGGTAAATCTTTATGGGAATGGGAAGCATCCTCTTTTTCCCATGAAACAGCTGGTAGTTTCAAACTGCTGACTTTGAGGTTACCAGCCCACTAGTCTACCAGAACTGCACTCACTAAGGGGATGGGAATAGGTTCCTCTTCCTTTCAGCATCACCCTGTCCTCAATCAGCATTCCAGTAACTATGAATAGCTCAGATGTGGGGATTTAGACTTCACTATTTTTTCTCCACCACCACTATCACCACCTCCATTAGGAAGCTTCAGGCAGTCTAATTTGCTAAATGCACCTGCCCTTCCCACAACGTCGCCATCATGGCTGCTCATATCACTGGATTACTTTTAAACTGGCAACATCAACATCAAATGCAAAGAAACTCATTATATTTGATTTCTTTTCTTTTCACCTTACAATATGCTCTTTAAAACGTAATGAAAAACACTCAGACATAAATTGCTTCTTAAAACTGTCTCCTATAATAGAAGAATTTCTCTCTTCTGCTGCAAAGATGAAAATGAAACTATCTCCGAGTGCTCTGGGTCCCTTACTCAATCAACAATCATCGTATGAACTTCAATTTTTAAAAAATCACCAAGTGTTTAAAAATCTCCTTTAATTATATTTTCATGAATTCTAAGAAGAACAGCATTGCAGTTAATGTTACAAAAAAACAAAGAGGGACATCAGAACATGCAATAAAAAATGGATTCACAGTGAAAATAATGCATGTTGGTACTAAAATATAGTTGGCCTGGTCCCTGAAGGAAAAAGCTTTCTTTTAATTATCTGTTCACTTGGATTATATTATGAGAAAATATTTTTTTTTCTTGAGAGCTTTGGAGAAGTGTCCAATTTGTGCTATTATTATTGTTAGAGACTGATGGAAGTCTCTTATTCTGTAAAGCCATTATTTGCAGTCTATAATTGAATCAGAAAATTCAAAAGTACAACAAATACTTTGGCAACTATATTCCTGTTACATACAAAGCCTTTAGCAAAAATATGTAACAAAATTTATGTAAAACAAATCATTGTGTCCTTATATACAGATGTTTGTTTTCTTCTCCATACCCACTCTAAAATAGAGGGGAATAAAGCAGCTACCAACTCCCTTTGAATTGTCTTATCCTGGGTAGGGTGAAGCATTCCTAAAAGGCGAGTTAACTACTTTCAACATCTTTTAAGTGAGGTATAAAACTTCATGTGGGGTTGTAAATAAAGAAGAGCAATGGTAATGTTTTTCAAATAAAAAATTCATCCCTTGATCCTTTGAAAAGGTTCCTAATGAACTCAATAGGGTTTAAAAAATGACTACATTTGTGACTATGATCTGAAAACATACAAGAAAAATCAAGACATATACACATTACAACTCAAGTTGCTGAGAAGTTTCACAAGGAGAGCATGCTCATATTTCATACCAATACAGCTTACAGCACATCAAGAGGAAAACTCATACGCACATGGCTAATGTCACAGAATCTATGTACAAACGCATAGCCAGTAAGAACACAGGAAGTCAAAAAGAGACCAAAATACATTTTCAAATCATCTTAAAGCCAAGGGCCACATTTACTGGAAAGGGAGAACTCTGACATTATACACACTACTTTTGTAAACTTTGAAGATGCAGCTTTAATATAATTCACAGTCTCAAGAGAAAATAAATTTCTGGTTTGTCATCATTGCTTGGCTCAGTCTGCAAAACAGAGTTATCTGAACAAAACTGGTCGAAGTATCCATAGCTTAGGGCTGTGCATGCCCCCTCTGGGATGCCACGGCCTTCCAGGCTCTTCCGGTTACTCAGGTAGCCCGCAATGTATGAGCCGGTGGAATGACGGTTCACGGTGGATTGGGGTGCTGAGGACTTGCTTCTAAGAACCACTCCCCCAACATTGCTGGGGTTCACAACTTTTTGCTTGTTGGCTTCCTGTTTTTCCTTGGCACGACTGGCAATATTACGCACTCTGCTCTGACTTCTAGAAGACAACTTTCTGACCAGTGCCCTGGGGAGCTGATTCACCTCCTGCTTTGAGTATCGCACTTGGCAGCCATCCTCCTGGTCAAAGGACACAAGCTTCCTCAGCTGTTCGGTCAAAGCATCTGTAGGCTCTAATGGTTCTGTCTTCACAGGCATACCCTTCTTGTCTCTCAAACCAGTTGTAACAAAACTCTTACTAATACATTGGTACTTGCTTTCAAAATTGCAGGCAATGTCTTCTGATGTTAAGTCACCCAGACTTTTAGATTTGCAAGGACTAGGCAATTTCAGAGCAGGCAGAGGAAGATGTGCTGAGAGCTTGGGGGCAGAAGCATGCATAGCTTGAGCACTAGATGGCAGGAGCTCGTGGGTCAGGTTCATGCTTGCATCTGGATTTGAGATGTGGTTATACGTGAAGCCAGCAGCACCCTGACAAGCTAGACGTGAAGCACTTTGACATTTGACATCATGAACATTTTTGACTATTTCAGGGACAGACGGAGGGAGAGTCTCTTTAAAGTAGCCATTTCTCAGACCATTTTGAGTATGTTCCACCATACCCCGGCCAGGCTTCAGCTTTAAAGGAGAAGCATGTTGGCTTGTGGCCCTTCTCCTATAGTCACAGGTTATTATGGAGAGATTTTCTGACCCACCATCAATTTCCACGAGACTGCTCTCTGCAGAGTTTAAACAGAGTGTTGGATCAGTTATGATGTCCTCCAATGTCAATTCCGTGGATGTTGCAGGGCTGCAGTTCTTCAGAACTTTCCAGTCTTTCCCCTTATTGGGACTTGCTGGTAACCAGCAATGAGGGGACCCAGGCAGATTGCCTTCCATTGTCTCTGTATTGGTCTTACCAGAAAGCTTATCATCTAGTTTGGGTTTAGAGATGGTAGTGCAAGTGGTTTCATGAACGACTGTGTATGTTGCATGTTCCGTGGCCTCGGGACTAGAAAATGCAATAGGTTCAGGAGATGAGCACAGGAAGGATGATTTGGACTTTCCTTTGGAAAAGTCATGCTTGAAAGGTAGTTTTAGACCAGTGGTGGGCAAGGGAGGCTGACCTGACATCACACTAGTAGAAGGAAGATGAGAAGCAACTCTGAGATTAGCCTGATCACTGGTCTCATCAAACTGTCCAATTAGTGCTGATATGGAACTGCTCGACTCATTCTCATTTGTTAAAGTGACATTGTCAATGAGTTGGGAAAGCCCACTCTCCTGCAGAATCCCAGTTGAATGTAAGTCAGGTATGTCAGCACAGAGCATGGAGACGTCTGACAAAGAAAAAGATGCTGCTGCTGTGCCCTTAAACCTATTATTCTTCTCCAGATTCTTAATCTCAAGATTACTTTGAGAAAGGATGCTTCCTGACAACGTACTTTTCCTTTCCACTAAACCCTCCACATTCCCATTTTCCTTGGTTTTTATGCCACAACGATCTTGTGCTAGGTTAACTGCAGGATCAAGATCCAAATGCTTCTTTGGGGAAAGGGCTTTGTTGGGACAGTGGTTTTCCTGGCAATCATTTGTCACATTTAATTTGCTTCTCCCACCTTTCAGGCCCAGCATTCCCAATGGTTCTCCTGTAATTGATACATTGACAGTAGAAACAGTGGTGCTCCTTTCGCTGGTGGTGTCTTTGTGGAGGAGAGTACTGGAAGAGGAGAATTTTTTGTTGAAATTTTGAAAATGTTGGTCTTTTGTTCTTGCCTTCCCTTTTCTTTGGCCATTCTTATTTTCTGCTGAATAAAACAAACAACATTTTAGGTGACATGCATCACTTTATGTAGGTCCTAGAAACACTCAGGTTTGTCCTCAGACAGACAAATGGAGAATGTAAATCTATTACACTGTGACAGTAATTATGGATTGCAGAGGTTTGCAACAAAGTATTCGTGTGATGAATAAAAATGGTAAATTATATTCATAGGAATTTCACTGAAGCTGCCTTTTGAGTATCTATTACATCAGCTGAGGATGTAATATTCATTGTCAAAAAAAAATGTCAATGAGTTATCATACTTTTACAGTGAGGATTACCTTAAGTTGTTCCTATTCAGATTTGTACTACACAGAAGCGTGGCAATAAAAACAGAACAAGACAGCTCTGTTAAACAAAGTATTGTGATACCTGCAAATAAGATACTATAAGCTTTCAAAGTTATATACATATTAATCAAGATCACTATTGTTATTAAGAAAAATTTTTTTAAGATCTAACTTAATTCATTTCTAAAACAAATTAGAAGGCTTAATAAAGCATTAAACTATAAATATCGATTGACTTAAAAAGTAAAGCTAGATGAATAGTTACTATTCAATTATATTTTTTAAATGTAAAAATGTCATATGTATTTCCCCTTAAGTGTCAATGAGCTGTCAGGCACAATAAGGAAACTATAAAAAACACACAATTCACAGTAATTCTGGGCACTCCCATCATGCTTAGTATAGTATGCTAAGACAATATTAGGTGCTCAATTATTCTCTTTTCTTTTTTGATGAGAACTATCAGTGGAAACTCTATCATTCCCCACACACTCTTAAACTAAATTTCCCCTTGAAAACCTGTAAGCCAGTCACTCCGTGCCTTTGTTGCCCCCACATTTTAGGTAGCCAATGTCTTAGTTGCCCATCCCTATCTACCCTGTATACAGAGGGGATAGGATTTGTATAATTATTCTTGATCAAATCATTCTTCAATAGTTTCTTAATGCTTTCAGACTCATGATCTGTACAAAAATAATTTTAACTGATTATATTAAATGTTCTACAAACAAAAAATAGGCTTACTATAAAAAAATAGGAAAATATACATAAAGAACAAATTAAATCTTATGGTATGCTCGTACAAAGTAGATGGATAGGTAATTGCATGGTCCCTATGCCTGCAGAGCCTATACCTGGGCAGAAGCCACACACATGCTTACTTCTCTGCAAACATCCAGGACATCACCCCCTCAGATGCCTCTTGAAGAAGCAAGTGAAGAAGATGATGAAGAAGATGACTTGCTTTTAACATCTGAACTTTTTTTCCTTCTCCATATACATTCCCAATTATGGAAAAGAAATGCAACTATATTCAATCCCAGAACAATCCATATATAAGACTGTGGTTGTCAAGTGTCATCGAGTCACTTCTGACCCATGACAACCCTGTATAGCGTTTCCAAGGAGCAGCTGGTGAGCTTGAACCGCCAACCTTGTGGTTCAAGCCAATTTTGCAGTCCAGCACATTAACCCAGAGCACCACACCAGGACTCCATACATAAGAGAGACACTTTGAAATCCAAGATCTCTATTCAGATTTAACAGGTATCCCCTTGCACTTTCTTCTCTTATAGACACATATGCTGCATATCAGCACACCTGATGGCCTACCTACCCTATCTCAGCATCAATTTCAGATGTCAATGCTATTTTAAGGCTTCAGGTGACTAGGAAACAGCACTTCTACTACCCATTACCCCAAAGGTTGGAAACTTTGGGTACTGATGATAATATTTTAAATGATTTTTCAGTGTATTTTATTTTGACTATAAAAGTCAACCAAGCCATAAGTCTAATCAAGGACTGAAATGCAACCCAGTAAAGTTTGTTCTTAGAAAAATTGAAAGCATCTTACCCAGCGAGTTTTCTTTTCCTTCATTGTCTTTTGCTGTTTCAGCTACAGGCAGTGAAAATGCTCCCAGAAGACTTTTGTCAACAGGCATAGAGACAGGGCGTACTTGCAAACTCCGTGTGGTCCTCCGCAGGACACCATCTTGTTCTCGTGCAGCCTCAGACACAGAATCCTTTATCTCTACCATTTCTTGGAAGCCCATTTTACTCTTTTTCCTGCCTTTGGCTGGGGCACTGGCTGTACGTCGCAGAATTCTATCTCCAAGTGATCGTTTCCGGACATAATGGGAATTGGTTTCTGAACTATGTCTGGGATTCTTATTGAACAGTCCCTTCAGACCTTGGAGCTGTCTGCTCTGAAGATACACACATACACACACAAAAACACAAGTTAAACGAATGACACTATAATAATTTGCAATCTATATGACAATTCCATGAAAAATGAATACAAAATAAAATTGTACAGCCATCAAAGTGAACCCAACAAAGAACACAGTAGCTCAGTATGTTTACAAAATATCATGCGCAGTTTATTGACTTTACTTTGTGAGGAAAGCAGCCTTCAATAATTATAACCAAGCTTTCTCATAAGCTTCCTACCCAGACATGAGAAGGTAGTAAGAATGTTTTCACAGCAAATAGAGGGTTACAAAACTTTGGCCACCTTAAAGCAACAGAAGAAGCATATTTCAAAGTGGCAAGCAGAAAAATGGAGTGATATGAGAAAAGCATGCCGCCATAGCCTTGTTTTTGCTTTTTTTTTAATGTGCCAGCAAAACAAAACACCATGCTGAGAAACTACCTTTGTAGCTCCTAGAAAATGCAATATAGTATAACTGGGGTTGAGTATTAAAGGGCTCCACTGTAAAGGAAAAAACAAAAACACAAACACAATTTGGGTTCATTCCAGAAGTATGGCACACGAAAAAACAAAGAAAAACGCATATATTTCTTATAAACACTTTCTCCCCAGTTTGGTGATTTTCAGCCTCATGTTCATTCATTGCTCAGCTCAGCACCACACATTCTCACCCAAACATACTTTAAAAAATAATGATTTATAATTGAGCGTTTATCTAGGAGAAAGAACAGACATCCTATAGAACACTTTCTTTTACATGTTTTAACTTTTTTTCTGGTCCAACTTTTAAACAAATTCTGCAATTTATTGTTCCTCTTAATTATTACAAATGCTAGAGAGACTTCATAGTTAGCCTAGGATTCCTAGGAACTCACAGAATTGTTTATATTCATGTGTATTTACTCTGCAGGAAAGATCCCAGCAAATAGTGCAAACAGAAATCCAGTCATGGTCAAACCTTCCCACTCTTAGAAATGAGCATTCTTGAGCACCCCTCTGCTGACAGATGTGAGGATAAATGTATGTCTTCTAGTTCGGGCTCAACCAATTCCATTCCTATCAACTAGGTTATATAATAATAAATACTAAAATTAGCCAAAATGTTTGAGTGTTAGAGTAGAATTATGTTCCTTAGGCTTTTGAGTGCACTCCTGGTGTGGCACTGTAGGATAAGCACTCAACCATAATGTCACTTTAAACTAAAAGGTCAGTGGTTCAAACCATATAGAGTCGCTATCAGTCAGAACCAGCTTGATGGCACTTAACAACAACAACAATGATCTAACAAGCAAGCTATCATAATATAAATGTATTTATTTACTTAACTATAAGGTCACTACTCTTCTTATACCATATTTACAGATGAAGAAGTGGTCCTAGTACAAATGGATAAAGCTCTAGGTTGCTAACAGAAAGTGTGGAGGTTTGAGTCCACCAAGAGGTAACTCTGAAGAAAGGCCTAGTGATTTAGTTATAAAAAATCAGCCACTGAAACCGTTGTTGTTGTTAAATGCTGTCAAGTCAGTTCCGACTTACAGAGACTCTGTATAGGGTTTCCTAGGAGTAACTGGTGAGTTTGAACCGCCAACCTTGAAATTTAAACCAATCTTGGGGTCCAATGCTTATTCTACAGTGCCACACCAGGACTCCACTAAAAACCCTAAGGGCACAATTCTACTCTGACACACATGGGTAACCATGAGTTGGAAATGACTTGGTAGACTGGTCACTGGTTACTGATGAGGAAGCTGAGGCAATGAATGTCTATATCTCTGGGGGAGAAGTTTCAGGCTATCAGATTGTCTGGTAAAGATAAATTCCTGTGCTTTCTCTATTCATTGCTCCTATTGTTTGGGCAAATCACACCTGGTCCATAAAATTCTAGCAGCCAAGTCCCCAATTACTTGGCATGGCTGGAGAACAACTGATTGATCTGTAAACTTCAAGTGAGTTTTACAAGGAAAAGAGCAGCACCAGACGAGATCAAAGCACATTTCATGGACCTTTTCTTTAAAGTGCTGTCTTGCTGTGGGCTGTCTGTCATTGAGTTCATTCTGACTTTGCTAATCTCTTGTTATCAAGTCCAATCCAACTCAGAGTGACCCTATAGGAGAGAGTAGAACTATCCCACAAGGTTTCCAAGACTAATCTTTATGGAAGCAGACTACCATCTTTGTCTCTCAAGAGCAGTTGACAGGTTCAAACCTTTTGATTAGCAGCCACATGCTTAATAACCATGGAGTTACCAGGGCACCTTTGTAAGTCCTACATTTTGTTTGTTAAGTGCCGGAGAACTGGTTCCAACTCACAACAACTTTGTTTAAGGTTTCCAAGGAGCTGCAGGTAGGTTTGAACCTTGTGATTGGAAGTCCAGTGCTTATCCTACAGGTCCACACCACAACTCCTGTAGATCCTATGGTTGTGTGTCACCTACTTTGCTCTGACTCATAGCGACCCTACATAGGGCTTCCAAGGCTGTAAATCTTTATAGAAGCAGAAAGCCTCATCTTACCCTAGTGGAGCAACTGGTAGATTCAAACTACTGACCCTTTGGTTAGCAGCCCAGGTTGCAATCCACTACACTACCAGGGCTCCTTTGTAAGTCCTATTGCTATTGTTGTTAAGTGCAATAATGACTATAAATTAATTCACAAATTTGTTAGGATTCAGTTCAAAACAATGAAACCAAATGAATCTATCTAGACTGGAGTGCAGTTGCAGCCCAGTTAGTAAGGTAACTAATTAAACTGGTGTTGTTGGTGTAAAATGCCCTCAAGTTGGTTCCAAGTCATAGCAACCCTATACAGCGTGACCAAGGCTGTGAAATTTTAAGGGAGCAGAAAGACTCATCTGTTTCTTGCAGAGTGGTGGCTGCTAGGCTCAAACTTCCAATCTGTGGTATGAAGTCCAGTACTTATTGTACAGAGCCAACACACTTCCAGTCTATGGCAGCCAGTTAGGGCTTTTTAAGGAATAAAATAAAACCTAACATTTAACTGTATCTTCATTCTTCTAGGTAAACAAATGATTGCCTGAGAAGATAATCATTCCTCCAGTCTATTAGGAGCAGATAGGGCCCCTAGATGGAAGGAAAGAGTACAGGCCCTGAACAATGGGGGAGACCAAAGCTTGACAGCAGAGTATCAGACTGGACATGGTGGGCTTCTGTACCCATGGCTGTTAAAGAACAGCTTGTCAAAATGCACATTCCTTTTAGGAAATTAGTCAACAAAACACCTTTGTTGAGGACCTTATTATTGCCATATGTGACTTTAAGCCCAGTGACTTTTCTCACCTTTCCATAGATTTCATTGATTGTTATGTGGACAAATATAGATGCTTCTGTCAGTCCTTCCAAATAGACATGTCGGTAACCTGATAAAAGTAGAGAAATCGTTTCCTTTTAATTGAACTTGTATTTGGTTTTTCCATGGTGCAATAGAATTAAATACCTGACTTCACTATTGTTTCTTTACATTTGACAAAGTACGTCAACATGTATATTATCATGCACAGCAAAACTTGCAAAAGCCAGAAACTTGTCAAAGAAGGAAAACTCAAATATCCTCAACTAAAACAAGCAATACAAAAGTGACAAGACTGAATGCTATCAAACTTACTAGACCTGGAAAACTGGGCTGTTCCATCGGATTCCAACTCTCACAAGTTTCACTGTAATGTATATTTTATAAGTCATATATACAAGGGTAATGCAAAAAGTATTATCACTAGGATTCCAGTTCACACATGCATGGGTTTACGGCAGACAGAAAATGTGTAAACATGTCTCTGTAATCACTGAATGTCTGCAGACAAGTTCTCTCAGTAACGCACTTGTCTTTTGTTAATGTCATTAAAAAATAAGGTACTATCAAAACAATGGGCCAGTTAAATTCACAGCACAAAAGTCATCTTTTTGGGGATCCCAAAAGGGTAAACTTGGTAATTTTCTCAAAGGATGTAAGATTATCATAGGAATTTAATATGTAGAAATTTTAAGAAAATGGAAAACGGCCCTGGTAACAAAATGGCCAGGAAAGTTGTGCCAATGAATCTTTTTCTATCACGACAATGCACCTGCTCGTTCTTCAGGGGTAGAAAGGGCTGTCCTATAAAAATGTCACTGGAAAACCTTAACCCGCCAACCTGAAACCTTGCCCTTGCCCCCTTCAGACTTCTTTTTGTGCCCAAAGCTTAAACATTTAAAAAAAGTGTAATTTGAGTTCCTTGAGGATGACAAAACTACCATTGTAAGGTGGTACAAATCGAAGTGCACAGAATTCTTCAAGTAAAGGTTAGCAAGATAGAAACGTCATTTTCAGAAATGTATAGACCTAGTCGGAAGACATGTTGAGAAATAATAGTTTCACATTTTGATATATTTGTTTAAGAAAGTGTCCTATGATTTTGTAGCAATACTTACCTTCATATACATATCACAAACATCATATATCTTCAAGAGAAAAAGGCCAGCAAAGAGAGAAAAGCCAGCCCATACCTACCAGGCACTAAGCTGCTAAAGGTCACTGTTCTTTGTCCAACAAAGTCTCGTCCAATGGGATCATGATCCCACACAAGGAAGCGAACCAAAGCTATTTCTGGCAGGTGGACTGTAAATGTCAGTGTTTCTTCCCACACAGGGTTAAATCCTCAGAGAAAAAGGAAAAGAAAAATCAGAAAATCAAAGGGCTTCGTTAAAAATGAGTCAGTAGCCACATCAGCACAGCAGACAGTGGAAATTGCTTGCAATGGTTATTAGACACTCCAGGATGCCTTCCTGAAATAGGGCCTCGGAATTTACCCCATTGCTTGAAAATAATTGGTAAGAAAATTGTCTGTAAATTATCACATCAATTCTATTAATCTTTGATGCCACATTGCACTGCAGAGAAAGCATTTCCTGACAATACTCAGAATGCTTCAATGAGCTCAAGAATTATCTATAGCAGTGATCTAAGAATAATGCTTTTGTAGAAACAATGAAGAATGCTTCCCCTCCCCCATACTCTTCTTGCCCACCAAAGGTCCAGCTGCTACAATCATCACCACCAACCATCTTATAAGGTGCTCTGTAGGGTTCAATGTTATTGTACATATAGCATCCTATTTTATTTCTATAGCAAACCTCTGACAAAGTCAGGGAAGGGTAGCGTATTTTTTGTTGTTGTTGATGTTTTGTTTGCTTTTTTATTGCTCTAATTAAGAGAATAAGGAGAAGGGAAGTGCTGTGGCTCTGCAGGATAAGCACTGGACTGTGAACCACGAAGTCAGCAGTTCAAACCCACCAGCCCTTCCATGTGAAAAAGAGGAGGTTTATTGCTACCACAAAGATTTACAGCCTTGGAAACCTTATGTATGGTTGCTGAGTTAGAAACAACTTGACAGCAATTAACAACAATTAAGAGAAAATACATTACTGACTTCCAAAAATAAATAACTTTCTAAAATTACACAAGAAACATAAGTTCCTGTTTTGTTCTGTTTTTTTGTGTGTTTTTTTTTTAAAGTAGAAAATGTAAGTATGTATAACTGATTTTGTAGTTGAGAAAACTGATGTTGAGAGAAAATAGTGTGTCAAAGGTCATACAGTTTATGATAGAGTCAAATTAGACATGTACTATTGAATCTCAGCAGGTTCTTTTGAAGCAAGACCTTAATAAATGAAAATAATATTTTTATAGCTAATGATAAAGAAATGAAATATAATTAAATTTAAATACTATTGTTGTTAAGTGTCATTGAGTCAGTTCTGACTCATAGTTTCCAAGGAGCGGCTGGTGAGATTGAACCACTTAATAAACAACATATGTGTGTATATATATATTCTTGGGGTTTCCAAGGAGTGGCTGGTGAGATTGAACCACTTAAACAACATATGTGTGTGTATATATATAAATATATGCAAATATTATATATATACCTGTCAGCATTTCCTTTCTAAAAAATAAAATTAAACTTAATTATATGGATACATTAAGGAGGCACCAACCACTTAACTCTGTAAAAAGCATCAAGCTAATGAAATAATTAGACTGAGAGTCATTGAAATGTCCCCCCTGAATAAGCGATGTGTCTTTCTATTGAAATGGCAGAGCCTGTCAATTATTTCTGAGACTTAATAAAACAATTACTCTACTAATTCCAAAGGATAAACAAAATATAAGAAAGTTTCTTACTTTAAATATGTTATTTCATAAATAATAGGCTTGTTCTGCTCTTGAGCTCCCAAATGTTGTTGTTGTTGTTGTTATGTGCCATGGAGTCGGAACCGACTCATAGCGACCCTGTACAGGGTTTCCGAGGGTGTAAATCTTTATGGGAGTAGAAAGCCTTATCTTTCTCCCGCGGAGCAGCTGGTAGTTTCGAACCGCTGACCTTAAGGTTCGCAGTCCGATTCATAACCACTACGCTACCAGAGCTCCTTAATCAATACTTAGAAAACCTCTCAAGATCTCTCTGTGGTTGCTGGCTGCTGGTGAGTTAGCCTCTTACCACATGCATAACAGAGTAAAATTCTGTCTGGTCCTAAGCCATTGCCATGATAGGTTGTACATTGAACTGTTGTAAGCCATAGAGTTTTTATTGGTCAATTCTCAGAAGTAGATTGCCAGATGTTTCTTTCTAGTCTAGTTTTCTCTGGGAGCTCAATCCTAGATCTCCCAGAGGTGAAAATTCTCTATAGAACTACCACTGCCCCACAGTTTCTCTATGGACCCTTAATTTCTCAAATGTTTTGAGAATTACGGTTTAAAATTATTTCAGAGACTTAATGACTACAGGCTGAGAACAATAGGTATACAATAATATTGGTTATATGAAAATTTTAATAAATACAATTTTAAACAATTATCAAGACATGAGGTTAAAGGAAATAAATCTTTCTTTGCATTGTAGCTAAAATACAATAAACAGAGAATGATAATCACCCACTACATGTACATATTCAAGAAGTTGCCTTGCCAGAGCCTCCTGAGCTTGCCCAAATCGCTAAGATATTTAGACTTCATGAATTAAAACTTAAGGAAACTCATGCCGTAAAAAAACAATATAAAACATAATATAGAAGCATTTTCCTAAGGGAAATTTTTTGTTTTTACTTTTTTATTGCTTTAAATAGATACATAACAAATCGTTTGCCATTTCAACATTCTTCACATGTTCAATTCAGTGGCATTAGGTATATTCATTGTGTTGTTTAATTACTACCATTAATCTGTTTCCAAATTTTTCCATCACCCTTAGCAGAAGCTCAGTATCCCTTAGCAACTGATCCTTCTTTTCCCTCCCTCCTACTTACCCCTGGTGACCACTAATAAACTTTGGTACTAAATGAAGGTTTAATTCAGCCTTCTAAAAATGTCTTTCATTTTATTCATTAGAAAGAATATTTGCTTGAAAAGCAAAAGTCTTGAGAGCAAAGATTCCAACATACATTAAAATACACCAGGTACCAATCATATATTTACTGAGTGTCACGTGTCAAAAGCCTTTAGCTATCAATTGATGTAGAAAAGGCATTTGATAAAATCCAACATCCATTCCTGATAAAAACACTCAACAAAGTAGGAATTGAAGAGAAATCATAATTAAGAGCATATATACAAAACCAACAGCCTACATTACTTTTAATGGAGAGAAACTGAAAGCCTTCCCCTTGTGAACAGGTACCAGTCAAGGATGCCCTTTGTCACCACTCCTATTCAATACTATGCTGGAAGTCTTAACAAAAGCTACAAGGCAAGATAGGGAAATTAAAGGCATCCAAATTGGCAAAGAGGAAATAAAACTCTATTACAGACGATATGATCCTATACATAGACTCAGCAAAAAAAAAAAACTACTGGAACTCATTGGAAGACTCAGCAAAGTGGCAGGGTACAAGATCAACATACAGAAATCAGTTGGATATCTCTATTCTATACTAATAATGACAACACTGAAAAGGAAATTAGGAAAGCAATACCATCTACAATAGCCATCCAAAGGATGAAATATTCAGGAATAAATGTAACCAGAGAAACAAAGGACCTATAC